TTGTGAAATTTGGCTCTAGCCTTGAACTGATGAAGCCAACCATGGCTGGCATTAAGAGATGCGTCCTCTGATTCTTCGCTGTGTTTCTGCTTCAAGTCTTCATAAAGGCTTTTAGCTTTCTCTTGAATCGGCGTTAAGCTGAGTGAGACTCAAGGCTGATGCTGACCCTGCATCCACAAACCAAGCAGTTTCTCCGTCTTCTCCATCACTCTTCTGCACTTCTTTGGTGTTATTGTTGACGTCACTGATAGCAGACCTCACGTGTTCTGTGATCCTGTCCTTGTTCTTTAGAATCCTGCTGCTTCTTTAAAACCATGTTGAACGATTCATCTTTTAAGAACAAGTGATGTCTCCCATCTCTTCACCTTGCTCCCCTTTCTCAATTATTTTCACTCTTGTTTCCATCGTTACCGTTTCTTAGCAGTACCAGCTACATGACTGCCACTTTTATGCTTGCTTCCAAGCATCCTGGGCGTGAAATAAAGATACCGGACTCCTGTGCTCTGTATAGTGCATACTTAGTCACCAGTCGTGTCCGACTCACTGCGACCCCATGGACCACGGCCCGCCAGGCCCCTCTGTCTGTGGGATTCTACAGGCAGGAGACCTGGAGTGGGTTGCCATTCCCTCCTCCTGCTGTATGTAGTACTGGACAGTAAATGCACAAAAGCACACCCACTTACAGAGGATGCACACAGGTGACCGTGTACACTAGACCCGTGAACTCACCTGGGTGATTAGCATGAGGATGCGTGTTCACGTCTCTGAACGTGTGCACAGGGTCTTGGAGATACTGGTACCTGCGGCATGGCCAAGTGAGAGTGCTGTGACATGCCCGCCCTCTGAGTTCTCTGGAAGTGATTACTCTCGGCCCCTAGACATGGGTTACATTAGATGCCTGCTCCTCAGGCTGAAGTTTTGATGCAAGCCAATAAGCCTCTTGCACAGAAAGGCTGACTGCCGCCGTGCTGGGCTCCGGGGTGGGTGAGTCTGCGAGCCTGTGAGAGCTGCTTCTCAGCTCTCTGTGGCCTGTGCACGTCACAGAGCCAGGCTCCACTGGATTTCCAAGCGAGGTCCTCTGGGCGCTCCTTTCTCAGTGTAGGTCTCTTAAGTTGGGGTGCCCGTTGTGGGGTTCAGACCCTTTGTTCCTCAGGGAGAAGCTCAGGGCTGTGAGTTGCCTCTCTCCACACCAAAATTGTAGTTTGTGGGAAAATTTTGTCTCAGTCTCTCCTCCCTGTTTTGACGTGGGTTTTCACCCTTTGCCTGATATGGAGTCACTCAGTTAGTTGGGCGTCTCTGTCAGAGGAGGAGACCTTTTCTTTCTTTGCTGAATGTAGCTACAGGTTTGGCGTGTCTGTGTGGGAGGTGTGTTTAGCATCCTCCTAGGTTGTCGTTTTGAACGAGGACCCAGTGGGGACCATTTTCAAGGCTGCTTACCGCAACTAAATTCTGAAAACCTTGTAGACCATGTTAGGTATTTATTTTATTCTAAAGGTTATAGGAAACTAGGAAAGAGTTTTAAACAGAGGATTCATAAGCTCAGATTTGAATTAAAAAATAACTGTCCAGTGTCAAGAGTAGGTAGGCTAGTGTGGATGCTGGAGACTAAAGAAAAGATCACCTCTAGAGGGCGAGTACGCTGTGTGGTGGCCTGAACTTCAGTGGTAGCCGTGGAAGTGGAAATAAGTGGATGCCATAAAAGGGTGTCAGTAATGTAAACTTAGTGTGCCTGAAAGCTTTGGTGAGGGAGTTCAGAGGAAGAAGTCAAGGATGATTCTCCATGTTCTGTCTCCTCCAGTGGTGTGGACGGCCGTGCTGTTTCCTGGGACAGGACCAAAGAACAATATACGTGCAATGTTTTAAGAGGAGGAGGGGCTGGCAGGAAGTTAGGAGAAGAACCAAGAGATGATGGTGACACATTCTTTCCATCTAGTGATGGGTCTGTAGTTTTTAATTCCTTCTGGCTTGAAAACAGTATAATCAGTGTTGAAGAAAAGACATGTCTAAAAGATAGCTGGCTTCTTTTGTTCAACATTTTTTTTTTCAACACATATATTTTTCAGAATTCATTATGTGAAAGACATTGTGTTGAGTAATGGCTAATGTTCCAGGTGAAATGGCAAATTCTAGCTCAGACAGTGTCACAAGGTATTGTTTACTGAGCATTGTATCAGCAGGGACATCAGACAGCCTAAATGTATAGTTTCCCCAAGCTGTAATAATCTGTGCAGTCTTTTCTTCTGTGTGATACACCTGTCAGAACAACAGGTAAAACTAGGGGGCTCAATGAAAATAGTCAGCTAAAAGAATCAGAACTTAGTGACATCTCAGAGGTGTCACTAAATTCTGATTCTTTTAGTTGACTCTTTGAGCTCTAGAAACATGATTTTTGTTTACTTTTCCAGAAGTGAGCAGAGAGCTCTTTCTCATTAACCAAACTGATGTCAAAGTTCCACTGGTCCACTGTCAGTTCATTAAGGTAGAATAAGGAATAGAAATGCCAGCTGCCCAACAGCATCTTTTCTCCCCTCTAAGAAAGCCAGGGTATTGTTTACTGAGCATTGTATCAGCAGAGGCGTCACACACCCTAAATATATACTTTCCCCAAGCTGTAATAATCTGTGCAGTCTTTCTTCTGTGTGATACACCTGCCAGAACAACAGGTGAAACTCGGGGGCTCACTGAAAAGTTTTAGTCTTTTTCCTCTTCTCTCTGTACCACCGTCACCATCCATACCCCCTGCCCCCATCTCCGGTGCGCCTGCCGCATCTGGCTTCTCTTTGGCGACTGAGTGAACTCAGAACATCCAGTGTTAGAAATGTGACTGTGTCAGATTTGGTTTTACTGCTTTGCCATTGGTTTGTTTTGAATCCAGTTGTATTTGGTGTTTTGGATATTCAAGCTCAAGAAAAAGTAAATAAAGCACTCAGCAAACTGTAGTATGTTGGATTCCTCATTCTTACCCTAGATACTTATGAGAAGCTAAAATATGGTTCAGATTTGGGTTGTGAGAGAAAGTTTTGTTTGTTTTTTCGGCTTGAACAACCGTAAGCATAGAGTTGCTGTTTACCAAGAAGGGGAGACTGAGTGGCTTGAGTGGGGAAACAGTACGTGGCTGAGACTGAGACGCCTGTTAAACTTTCTGTGGGTGTAAGTGTTGTTTGGCAGCTGGGTATGTGGTTCAGAAGTTAAGAGGAGACCTCTTGGCTTTATTAAATGTGCATGTTTGGGGCATGTTGATGCCATTTAAAGCCATAAAACAAAATGAAATCACCGAAATGATAGGGGTAGAAAAACGAAGTTCTGGGATTTAGCACAGGACATAGTAAATTCAGGAAAGTAGTATTCTTAAAGCCAAGTGAAGAGCGTTTCAAGGGTGAGAGAACACAGCAAGGGCTGAAGGGAAGCGGGTGGATGAATTAGACGTGAGGGGCCGTCCCTGCTGGGCCAGCGCTTAGGGACCCGCCTTCCATGCCGGGCACACAGGCTCGCTCCGGGCTGGGACTGAGACCCCACCTGCTGTCGGGCGGCTCAGCCTGTGGGCCGCAGCTCAGAGAAGCCTGGCGCCGCGGCAGAAGGACCCAGCGCAGCTCGGGAGGCTCAGGGAAGAAGCAGACACGGGGAGGCTGGGGGACTGGCGCATGTGCTCATTACCTTGACTGTGGGATGGTTTCACAGGTGTGCAGATATCCTTCACACATGGTGCATGTTACACACGCGCAGTTTTTATATCGCTTATTTCTCAGTAAGTGAAGTCGCCCGTCGTGTCCGACTCTTTGCGACCCCATGGACTGTAGCCTACCAGGTTCCTCCGTCCATGGGATTTTTCCAGGCAAGGTTACAGGAGTGGGTTGCCATTTCCTTCTCCAGGGGATCTTCCCGACCCAGGGACTGAACCTGGGTCTCCCGCTACAATGCAGTAGATGCTTTACCGTCTGAGCCCCCAGGGAAGTCCAATTTCTCAATAAAGCAACATCTTAAACATTTCTTATATTAAATATTCATTTATAGTTTTTATTTTTTTAAGGAGGGAGTGAACAGCTGTCAAATGCTTTTGATAGATCAAGTAAGATGAGAATTTTCTAGGAAATACCATCCGTGGTTGCCTTACTGTCTGTGGAGTTGTGGGAATAAAAGTGTGATTTGTATGAATTCAAGAGAGAATGGAAAGAGAGGAAGTGGAGACAGAGCTCCAGACAGCTTTTTAAAAGAGTTTTGCTGAAAAGAGAATTTGAAAAATGAGATTGAAGGGAGATGTGAACTCAAAAGGAAGCTTTTTCTTTTGTTTTTAAGAAGGGAACAGTTAACACCTTACAAAGGTAGGTAGGATAGCTTATTTTTATATAGATGGGAATAAATTGACAGAAAGGAAAAATAGGTGCTATGTGAACGGAAAATTGTCATGGGAAAAGGGAAGAATTGCTAGAGTGATATCCATATATTCCTTTGCTTTTGATCTTGAGAATTCTGGCCATAATTATGACAATGAATTTCTAAATCTGTTTGGATATACTTTTTTATTTTATTCATTGTTTATTTTAAAACTTTATGGGTCACTTTTGAAGATAGCTTTATTTAAAACCATGTATGTTATTTATATGTAATTGCCATATTTGATATTCTTTGTCTCGTGTATTCTTAAGGTTCATACTGATTATATACTTGTTTGTCTTATTTTGTTTCAAGAAATTATAATATCCATGCTTCTTCAAATAGAATGTAGACCTTCCAATCCAGCATTTACCAGCATAACTGACATTGTTACATCAAGCTACCATTATTAGCTGCTAAGAGTCTTTTCTTAACAAGATATGCTCTCTGTATAAAGTAACTATGTGAAATAGTTTTACAGAAGAATTTGACAAAGTAAATTTTGCACTTCTAGTACTCTTAGGATTGATTGCTTTGAGGGTGGGGAAAAAATGATGTAATCTTTGCTTTTGGTAGCAGTTTCTTCAAATTTTCTGTTTGACAACCCTGACCATTAATTCTTTCCATAGGTAACAGGAAACTCAGGAACTTTCAAAAGAAGTTTTTTATTTTCTGCCCTGTCTTATTTGGGTTTTGAAACTTATCAAGTCATTTCCCAGGCTGTTGTGATTCATGCCGCAGCCAAAGGTAAGCCTCAGCTAAACATCGGGAACACTTAGAGTTATTTGTATTTGTTATATTTTGATAATTACTTATTATGTTTGAATAGATGATGTAACTGACATGTTATAGGCTAGATTATTTTCTGCTTTTCTCTACTTGTCGGTCTGATATCTCTTTTTCTCTCTACATACACACACACACACACACACACACACACAAGATTATTTTCTGCTTTTCTCTACTTGTTGGTCTGATATCTCTTTTTCTCTCTACATACACACACACTCACACACACACACACACACACACACACACACACGTTCCCTGGTGGCTCAGATGGTAAAGAATCTGTCTGCAATGCAGGAGACCCCGGTTTGATCCCTGAATCAGGAAGCTCCCGTGGAGAAGAGAATGGCAACCCACTCCAGTATTCTTGACTGGGAAATTCCATGGACAGAGGAGCTGGCGGGCTACAGTCCATGGGGTTGCAAGGAACTGGACACAACTGAGCAACTAACAGTTTCACTTTTAACTTTATGTGTGTGTGTGTGTGTGTGTGTCTGTACACAGTAGAGCCTGAAGGAGGAAATGACACCCCACTCCAGTATTCTTGCCTGGAAAATTTCATGTGCAGAGGAGCCTGGTGGTCTGCAGTCCATGGTGTTGCAAAGAGCTGGACACGGCCGAGCAGCCGAGCACACACACAGTAGGGACACACAGACAAGCAGAGACAAGCGGAAAATAATCCAGCCTGTAATACGCCAGCTGTATTATGTATTCAAATGTGTGAATTATCTTCTTGCAGCTAGAGCTCCTGCAGTGAGAAATACTCTGTTCATACTTGAGAGTTTTGTAGGAACCTTGGGCTGGGAATGTTTTTCACATTTTTAAAGGGTTGAGGGGTTGTGGCAGGGTGGGAGGATATACCACAGATCAATCTGGCCCACAAAGCCTTAAAACATTTATTCTCTGAATCTTTACAGAACAAGCTTGCCAACCTCTACTGTATAATGATACAGTGATTCTGTTGTTTTCTTAATACCATGGTGGTGTATTCTTCTTGATGTAGTTAAGAAAGACCCAATTACTTTGAGATAAAAATATTTTTATTTATAAACAGAATGCAACTTGGTACTAAATATCAAATAACTGGCTGAAAAATAGAAAAATGCCATCAAATTTTTTATTTAGCATATCATAGATATGTAAACATATATTAAGACTTGCCATATTTTAAAAATTAAATTTGGTTAAGCCAGTTGCGTTATGTGGACAGAGCCAAAATTTGGACTATATCAGGGCTTCCCTGGAGGCGCGGTAGTAAAGAATCTGCCTACCAGGGCAGAAGTTGTGAGAGACTTGACATCGATCCCTGGGTCAGAAAGACCCCCTGGAGGAGGGGATGACAGCCCACGCCAGTGTTCCTGCCTGGAGAATCCCATGGACAGAGGAGCCTGGCGGGCTACAGTCCCTGGGGTCCCAAGGAGTCGGACATGAGTGAAGGGGCTTAGCACCCCAGTGCAAGAGACACCGGCTTGATTCTAGTCTGGGGAGATCTCACATGTCTTGGAGCACCTGAGCCACAACCGTGGAGCCTGCGCTCCGGAGCTGGGAGCCGCGGCTGCTGAGGTCCGCGTCCTCAGCCAGAGACGCCGGCGCCCTGCGGGAGGAGCCCCGCGCCCCACAGCCCGGGAAGAGCCCGCGCAGCAACAGAGACAGCACGGCCAAGGGAAGTAAACGGTCACGGAGACCAAAACCGGACCCAGCCCACTGGGGAAAAGCTCTTGTGATTTATGACTTAATGAGCCTGTTTGTGTTCCACAGCCCTCGCTTTTTAACCGTCACCAAGTTGATTAGGAAAGAAGAGATTTGATTTTGAATAGATGTTCTTATTAATGTTCTAGAAGATGAAGAATCTGAAATTGGCTAAAAATTACTAGTTATTTATTGATTTCATTTGTCCATGATTGTTCTTATATTTTTTAAAAAAGCAGTTACTTGAATTGCTATGTTTTTGTTTTTTCTTTCTTTTTTCAACATATCATTTTCATGAAAGACAAAGGGAGGAGTTGGTTTTGTCACTGGCTAATGACATATTTTGGCAGATACTTACAACTCAGCTTCTTAAAGCTCCCTAGACATTTTTTACTATTTAAAAAAAAATTTTAATTGGAGGATAATTTCTTTACAACATTGTGTTGGTTTTTCCTGTGCAACAACATCAATCAGCCATAAATATACATATATCCCCTCCCTCTAAAGCCTGCCTCCCACATCCATCCTGCCCCTTTATTATTATTATTTTTCTGCCCCTCTAGATTGTCACAGAGCACCAGGCTGAATGACCCCGCAGTCCTGTTACTGGACATACACCCTGAGAGAACCAGAATTCAAAAAGACACATTACCCTGTTATTCACTGCAGCACTATTTACAATAGCCAGGACATGGAAGCAACCTAGATGTCCATTCGCAGGTGAATGGATAAAGAAGTCGTGGTGTGTCTCTGTGCGCATGCGTGCACATGCACACGTACATACTACAACATCACTCAGCCGTGAAAAGGGACGTATTTGAGTCAGTTGAGCTGAGGTGGATGAAGCTAGAGTTTGTTATACAGAGTGAAGTAAATCAGAGAGAAAAACAAATATCACACATTAACTTAACATAAAGCTCCCTAGACTTTTCATCATAGCTTCAACTCATCATAACAACCTTGCCAAGTAGTTAGGAGAAGCCATGTTTTCATGTTATAATAATGTTTTTAAAGTATCCTTGCGAGTTAGGCCTAGTGGTTGAACTTTAAAGATTTTTCTCTGTGCGTATGTCCCATTATATCAGTTTTTCAAAAGAAGCTCACAATATAAATTTCTTCAAAGTACCAGAGCAGAGATTAGCACTGTTACCCACTTCTTTTTGCATCTATCACTCTTAGTTTCAGCATGCTTTAGCAGTGCTTTGTTATAGAAATGAGGTCAAAGATTCTTCAGAATTTCTGATCTTCCTTTATAGGTTATTTCTGTTTCTAATTTTTTTTGCTTCTATGTAAAAGTGTTCATGTGTCTTAGAATATTGCCAACTGGCTTGGAAAGACTTACTTTAGTGTGTTTTTTTTCTTTTATAGTCTTCAAAATTGAAGAAATCCTTGAACAAGCAGACTACTTATATGAAAGTGGAGAAACAGAAAAACTTTACCAATTGCTAACTCAGTACAAGGAAAGGTGGGTTATGTATCATAGGCCCAGGTGTGCTGTTGACTGAAATTTTCTGTTATATAATGATTAAAATATTCTCGGTGCTGGGAATTTTTATAGTTTTTAAAAGTTTTTACTTCAAAGTAATATTTCTTAGAGTTTAATTTATAGTATGATTTTTTTTCTTATGTTAAGTGACTCAGAAGTGCTACATATATTTCATTGATTTAGAAAAGATGGTTCTACGTACTCATTCTAGGTAATGTTGACATAGTTTTTCCTTTTGTTACTTTACTTTGAATACAAGGTAGTCATTGAATAGATATTTATCTTCTTTATCTATGTCATGTATTTCTCATTTCTTCTGAGTTAATTTCTTACTTCTATAAGATTTAAATGAACTAGGATTTTTTTGTCACCTTTGAATAATACGTATGTATCCCTGTAAAGCACAGTCTCAGAAACTAAAAATAGCTCCTTTTTCTGTTTTTAGTATTAGCTACATGCTTAGTCCAGCGCATTAATGTGTGCTCATTTTGTGGGGGAGAATGGAGATGGAAAGAGGGGATTCAGCCCAATAGAATAAATCAAATCAGACTAAATCGCATTTCCAGATCGTTGCTCTACCTCATCTACTGAACTAAAAATATGAGCCATTTTAAACTGACTTTCTTAGATTTCCCCAAACCAATTGTCCCCAAAAGACCCATCAATCTACTCCCTAAGTATCTGTAGGATCCAGCTTTTCTTTTCCATCGTCCGCTCGGTACCTTGAGTGGTTGCCTTGGCATTCTGTAGTCACTCCAGTAATTGCGGTGCAAACTGTAAGGTGGTGGTTCCGTGGCTCAGGCGTGTCCGACTCTTGCTGACCCCATGGACCGTAGCCCGCCGGCTCCTCTGTCCACAGGATTCTTCAGACAGCAGCCCTGGAGGGGGTTGCCGTTTCCTCCTCCAGGGGGTCTTCCCGACTCAGGGGTTGAGCCCACGTCTGCGGCACTGCAGGTGGATTCTTTACTACTGAGCTGCCTAGGAAGCGGTCAGGTGGTTATTTTATATTGACTGGATTATAGATATGCTATTGCTGCATACCCTCCATTTCTCTTTTTAATGATTCTTCCTTTGCGTTTTATTTTGATTGATGTGCCCAGCAGTCTCTGGCTGGGCCGGCCTTCTGCGCTGCGTGTGGGCTGTCTCTGCTTGCTGAGAGGGGGCTGCTCTCTGTGGCGGCCCCTCCTGTTGAGGAGCACGGCCTGTGCGTGTGTGCGCTTCGCCGCTCCACGGCACGTGGGGTCTCCCTGACACTGATCACATCCACGTGCCCTGCGTTGGCAGGTGGGCTCTTAACCACTGGACCACCAGGGAAGTCCCTACCTTCAGTTCCACTCAATTTTATGTGAGTACTGTTTTTGTTAAGAAAAGTATAACGTAGTAGGTTTAAAGAGAAACATTTAATAAAAGGAATTTTTATTAAAATGGCTTCCCAGGTGGCACAGTGGTAAAATATCCATCTGCCGATACAGGAGACACAAGAGACATGGGTTTGATCCCTGGGCCAGGAAGATCCCCTGGAGGAAGAAATGGCAACCCACTTGCCTGGAAAATTCCATGGACAGAGGAGCCTGGCAGACTATAGTTCATAGGGTTGCAAAGAGTTAGACATGACTGAGCAACTGAGCATGCACACACAATTTGTTTTATTTATTAGACAGTTCAGTCTTATATAATTGCATTTAAATTGCAGTTCTTCAAGGAGTCCAGAGCCCTTGCTTTAAATATTCCATGCATCATGGTATGGGTGACATATTCAAAGATGGGATTTATTTTGAGATTATATTATATTTAATCATCATTCATTAACAGGTATTTATGATATACATATATTTGTATGCCAGGTACTATATTTGCAGCTATGGATACAGCATTCTGTTTTATAGTGCCTAACCCTGTCTATAAATTAATGTATTTTATAGTACTGTCTGAGCCAGTTAGTGAGTTGTCTGAAGCACAGTGCCATTGAACTCAAATGTCAAGTTATATGTTGAATTTTGTAGGGAAATTGTTTAGAGAATTCAAATATAAAGATTTTTCTAAGGAAGTTAGTATTTTAGATATTACAGGTAAGTTAATGTTTGTATGTAATGTTGGATATTTTGGGGGAAGTTTTAGCACACACATAGATTTGTGTGATAAAAAATAATTAATTTAACATTATGTATAGTGGATTTCGATATTGTGTTGCTTGCTATATCCTCACTGACCTGAAAGAACGTATGTATTCATTAGTGATATGACCTTTAACCATGAAAATGTGAGCTAAAATGGTTGTTGCTTTATATTTATTTCACATTAGTGAAGATGCAGAGTTACTGTGGCGTTTGGCACGGGCATCACGTGATGTAGCTCAGCTTAGTGGAACCTCAGAAGAGGAGAAAAAGGTTTTGGTATATGAAGCCCTAGAGTATGCTAAAAGGGCACTTGAGAAAAATGAATCAAGTTTTGCGGCCCATAAGGTGAGGTGCTTACAGTAATGAAACTCTTACCTTGTATTGACATAGACATTGGTCTATCCTTATCTATTATATATAACTTACCTAGGAAAGAAATAGCACTCTTTTAAAAATTTACTTTTATAAACTTTTTTTCAAAAAGAAGTAGTATTTTCTTTGTATTCTTGAACATCTATTCTAGTTTCATTAGTGTACTTTTGTGAAGGCTTATTTTTAAACTGAAGCGTTAGTAGTTCCATCAGCTACGCCTGTCTTTAGTTCTAGTTGTAAAAACACTAGACAAACGTTTTCTCATTTTCCCCACATTTTATTTCTGTTTTATGTGGGGATAGGTAGCAGCTGGACAGCAGAGATCTAGTGTAACTTTTTACATGTGACTCCACGAGCGTCTGGATTTCCTGACTGTTTAGAACACGCTTTTCAATGAACACAGTGGGGAGGCCAAGGGACATTATTGATATTTTGGATTAGAATCTTACTTTGCCATATCAGACTGTCCCCAGGGGAGCCCCCGAGTCATTGTGACAGCTGAATTGTCTTCACGCATTTGCAAATGCTCCCTTTAGGGCATGGTTCCATCTGCCCTGAGCCCCACCACCACCGTTTCTTGTTTATATTAAGAATAAAACATACAGACCCTTTAAATTTGTTGAGACTTGTTTTATGGCCCAGAATATGGTCCATGTTCGTAAATGTTCTTTTTGCACATGGAAGGTATATTTATCCAGCTGTTGTTGAGCATATGTCATACATGTCATTCCGGTCAAGTTGTTTCACACATGGTAGTGTGTGTGTGTTGATGTTGCTTTCTCTCTTCATCCCACTCTCTCCTTTCCCCACAGTGTCCATAAGTCCATTCTCTACATCTGCATCTCCATTCCTTCCCTGCAAATAGATTGATCACTACCAGTTTTCTAGATTCTGTATATATGGGTTAATATACTGTATTTGCTTTTCTTTTTCTGACTTACTGCACTCTGTATAATAGGTTTCAGGTTCATCCATCTCCCTAGAACTGACTCAGATTTGTTTTGTATGGTTGAATAATATTCCATTGTATATATGTACCATATATTTATCCATTTATCTGTTGCTGGACATCCGGGTTGCTTCCATGTCCTAGCTGTTGTAAATAGTGCTACTGTGAACATTGGGATACATGTGTCTTTTTCAGTTTTGGTTTCCTCGGGGTATATGCCCAGTAATGGGTTTGCTGGGTCATAACAGTCATTTTATTCCTAGTTTTTAAGGAAGCACCATACTGTTCTCCATACTATCGTAGCTGTATCAATTTACATTCCCACCAACAGTGCAAGAGGCTTCCCTTTTCTCCACACCCTCTCCAGCATTTATTGTTTGTAGACTTTTTGATGATGGCCATTCTGACTGGTGTGAGGTGACATACCTCATTGTAGTTTTGATTTGCATTTCTCATCCTGAATCTGTGACTTTCCACAGCACCTGGGTTTATGAAGCTTGGATATTTGGATTCAGTTCTTAGAGAAGAAACTCAGATTGTTTCAGTTTGGGTTTGTTGTCCAGCTATGGACATGAGGACAAAGTCACAATTGACAAATATGGCCATTATTACTATAGCAATGTGGGTGTGAAATAAGAAACAGTCCCCCCCCCCCCAAAAAAAAGAAACAGTTCCCAGAAAATCGGTTGAGAAAATAAAATGATGATTACTAAATTGCACATTTTTCTAAATTTATATCCACACCATAAATATGAATCATTATATCCCCATTGTGTTGGTAACTTTCTTAGAAATTCACTAATCTCTGTCTTATAGTCCTCTATAAACATGTCCTAACTTAAGTTCCTTAACGGCTGTGTCTACTTTTTCTTTGTATATTCTAGGGTATTTAATACAGGTTTTGTGCTCAGCTTTCTATTAAATGAGAATAACTACTGAGGAATTGCAACCTGGTATTGAATGGAATATTATTGAATGTTAGTATTCTTACACCTTTGTTTCTTCTGTTTTTAGTGGTATGCAATCTGTATTAGTGATGTTGGAGATTATGAAGGAATCAAGGCTAAAATTGCAAATGCCTACATTATCAAGGAGCATTTTGAGGTACTGATGGACTTCAAAAGTCGTTAGTTTTCTGAATAGATTTCTGTTTCACTTATTTCTTGCTGTATAGCAAACTACCTAAAGCTTAGTGGCCTAAAACAATGACAAATTATTTCTCAAAATTCTGTGGATTAACTGCACAGTGCTGCTTCCATTCTGCTCATTGTGGCTGAGGTCATTTAAAGGGCTTCCTTCACCTGGACCCTCAGCTCGGACAGGAATGGACGAGATGCCCTCTCACATGTGACGTTTCTCTCTACTTTTCTTCTCATCATTTAGTAGTGTAGCCCACACTTGCCTATAGCACAGTTGCTGCTTCCAAGAGTGAGCGTGCCAGGGGGAAGGTTCCACTGTGCAGACTTTTATCAAGCATGTTTGCATCACACTTAGTAATAATCTTTCAACCGAAACAAGTCATTTGGCCAAGACCAGAGAAGGTGAGAGGGGTTATACAAAGTCCTGAGTGCCAGGAGGCATGGTCTCAGCAGTCTCATATAATCAGCATACCACTTGCAGAGGTAATAGTGCTATATATGATCTCTGAGTTTTAATAATTCCCCCAGAGTTCAGTTACTTATTATTGTAAGCTCTTCCTTAGGTGCCAGAAATTCTCCCAGAATTTGTATATTTCTTGTTGTGCTTACACATTATTCTGTTGTCCAAAGACAATCAACAAAAAACCTGCAGCTAAAAACCCAGTCTATTTATCTTTGCTGTTATAGACCATCTCAAAAATATAAATTAAGAGAAAGTGATGAAAACAAACATATTTATCGTTACTGATTCAATTCCTAGTTGTAATGAGTAGTGGAAAAGAGCATTGGACTAGGAGTCAGGAGACCTAGCTTCTTATTTGGGCATCGATATATACATGTATACACACACACACACACACACACAAACGTACACATATACATTGATATACATACATATATATTTGAATTTAGTAATATAGATTTGTTTTAGTAATATAGATTTTCTATATAGTAATATAGATTTTTCACATTTTAAGACCTTTGAAATCAGATTGTGTTATTATAGTCAGCAGTGCTTTTTCCTTAGTGGTATATAAAATAATGATGTGTCATAACTTTTATGTTATCTTAGAGATTCAGTGAAATAGAATCTCAGTGGCATTAGATAAATCATTTAAATTATTTTGTGCCTTGGCATGTAGAAATACCTGACAAAAAACTTCCAAGTGAATGATGAAATACTGCATACAATTAATTAATATATACTTAAGAGAAACTTTGAAGACTATAGGTTATTTAAAAATAAGCAATGTTTTTAAGTGTGTATATTAACTATATTTTATAAATGACAGTGTTTAGTATTTACATACTTAAAAGATCATTTAAACTACTTCTATTTCAGATTCCATTATTACATCTAAAGCCATAAGGAATTACTCTTTGTATTGTTTTTGAAGACACTTAAACTTACGACAGAAAGGATTATAAAAGAAAAGGTTTGCTTGAGTATAGCCCCTCTGAATACATCCCAAAAGTAAAATAAACTGTAATTCCCCAAGGCATCAGCTGTATGTGATGAGTTAGCTTCTTTCCTTTGCATCCAAATGGACTAGCTCTGTACCATTCTTGGCAGAATGGAAAATATAGTAACTTGTATAATATTTTGTAGGGCTTAATTTTCTAGTGGAACTCTGATTTGGAAAGGCTGCTTAGAATATGAGCTGTATATACTTTAAAATATATTCTGCTGTGTAAAGCAGAATATACTTTAAAATATATTCTGCTGTGTAAAGCATGTAACTTTATTTATAGAAAAACCAAAATTAGGTCAATGCTGATTCCTACCCATATTATTGGTAACAAGATTTCCCCAAGTCATACGTGATTAGCCTTATTTTAGCTATTCTCTCTCCCATTACTAACATTATAATCAGTGTTCATAATAAAGGGTCTGAAACTGACAAAAAAGTAAAAATGATGATTCTGATGATAGAAAATATTACTGTGTTAAGCACCTCCTGTTAATTTGCTCATTTAATTTTTACCACAACCGTATCAGTTAAGTGTACTGCTTTCCTGATTCTGTACAAGAGCAAACTCAGGCTTGGAAAGAATACAGAACTTGCTAAGGTCATAAAGTTAGAGGTCATTGAACTGTGATTTGAACCCTATTAGTCTGGCTTCAGAGTCACTCTAGTAACCAGTACAGATACTTAAAAATGTATGTTTCACACATTATCAACTGAAAGTGAAAATGTGTTTTTGCAGAAAAGTGTACGCTAGGAAGTCTTAATTTTTTTAAAAAGGGTTTTTTTTTATAAATCTTTAATAGGGTTAATATTAATCTGTGAGATTTCCTTAGTGGTTTTCAACAAAATAATGAAAAATAGAGGAGTAATTTCTTTAAAGTTATTCTGTAGTTTATGCTTTACATTAATTCACATAGGACTTCCACATAGTAAATAGAAATTAGGGAGACTATCAGTATATTTTATATTATACATACTTATTCTATTAATGAATTCTTTGAATAAGTAGTGTTGATTCTCCCTTGGTTAAATATAGATGGGGAAGTTAAACCAAATTTGCACATAGGAAGAGACTTTCTGAAATTATGTATTTTCTTTTTCTAACAAAGAATAATTTTACTTAACAGTCATATAGGACTTGCCACAAAGAACTTTACTATTTAGTTTTCCTTTAATCTAGAAGATATAACAGAGCTATATATTGTTACTGTTTTGCTTTCTTTCCTCTTGCTACATCCTACTGTCAGTTTCTGAATCTTATAAAATAGTAACCTATGTATAAGTAATTAATAGTGTGCTGAAATATATTTAATTAAAGAGTCAAAAGGAAGAAAATTGGTGTTGATTATCGTAGAAAAATTGAAATTCTGGGTTGCAATTTTTTTAAAAAATTATGGGTTTTGTCAGCAATATGGTAAAGTATTTTTTGGTGTTTAGAAAACAAATATGATTCATTTTCTCGTTTCTTGTTAGAAAGCAATCGAGCTGAACCCTAAAGATGCTACTTCAATTCACCTTATGGGTATTTGGTAAGAAAATTTCTTGAAATAAATATTTCAGTGGTACTTAGTATGATCTTATTTTGTAGTATATAAAAAAGTAAAATGTTTGAAATATTATTTGAAAGTCAAGAGTGCTTAAACCACTAGATTAACTTAGAGTTGTACTGGTTATTTAGTGTTTAGTATTTAGAAAATACTAAATTTGATTGTGATTTTGTTAAATATTGTTATTCAGATTATTTAGAAACAGGTATTAAGATTAAAAATGCATTGAAACTTTTCATTAAATTTTGCATTCCCTTTTTTGGGAAAGATTATTCTTGTTTACCAGACTGAATGGATTGGATTAAGCTAACTATACAGTAATACAGTAGGGTGTGTCAGATACAGCGTCATTCAGTATCTTTGCATTTTTAGGTAATCTCTGTTCAAAGCACATCCTTATTTTGCCAGTATGAGCATACACCAGTGTGTTAAATGCTGACTGGTTTGAGGCTGTTGGTTTTACCACCATTTTCTTTACGTGTGGTCTACAGAGCTGAGTATTTATTGTCTTCTGTGAGGGGTAACAGTGCAAAGGCCCGTCTGAAGCTCTCTTTAAAGAGAAATGAATACCCTTTAAAAGAGGGGTAAATACAGGATGGAGGACATGTTTAGCCAAACACTTACTGAGTGAGAATTAATGGTGATTGAGGGACAGGAATGCAGATGCCGGCGACCAGATGTGAATGAACTTCAGTTCTTCCTCAAGGACTTCAGACCCTAATCAAAGATCGAACACTTTCCCCTCATTTCAGAAGCTGTCGAGAGTTTTGATGTTATTTTTAAATTAACCGTTTTATTTTGTACTGGATTACGGCTGGTTAACGATGCTGTGAGAGTTTCGGGTGGACAGCAGGGGCCTCAGCCGTACAGAGCCACGTGTCCCTCCTCCCCCGAGCCCCTCGTCCAGGCGGCCACGTGACGCTGAGCGGGGCTCCTGCGCCTGCAAGGAGCCGAGGGCTGCTAGTGGGGGCGGGAGGTGAGCGGGGAAGGCTGTTCGGGCGTGTGGGCGGACCGGGCTGCTGTGTGTAAGACGGGTGAGCCGCCGGCCTCCTCTACCGTCGGCTGTTCGTCGTTGCCACACGCCTTCACATTTGCAGACTTGCTGGTTGCTGTTGTCATTTAGGTATCCCATGTTTTGTTATTTTTCTTGTTTTTTTAAAAACTTCTCTTGAGTTAGTTTTTATGTAAAAAAAAATAGGGGTAATGATTCTATCTCATTTTATTATTGTAAGGAGTAGATGAGAGAATCACTCAGCTCAGCACTTTGCACAAAGTGCGTACTCAGTGGTGAACGATACACTGTATTATCCTTACCATTGTAAATGTTGCTTACACCTAGTCGCAAAATACACCATGATCGATGGATCAGTATAAATAAGTCTCTAAATAATTCAGTATAAATGTTAACCTACTGGATATTATGAGAAGCATAAGCTGTTTAAATATACAATAGGAGAAGATTCCTTTTGTATATGTTAAGATGCTTAGTCCTCTTTAAGAGAAAAGAAGGTGCAATTTGAATATATGTGCCATTTTCTTTCCCTATAGGTGTTACACATTTGCTGAAATGCCTTGGTATCAAAGAAGGATTGCCAAAGTGCTGTTTGCAACTCCGCCTAGCTCCACCTATGAGGAGGTAGTGTGAGGTCCCTTGTCGGTTAGTACTGCTCTCTTAACCGCTGGGCCGCTCCGCGTGTCCGCTCATCGCAGCTCTGAGCAGTGAGGGCCGCCGGCGCGTTCTGACGGCCGGTGCAGCCCTTACCACAGAGGCTGGTGCCTACGATCCGTGATGGCGAGTGTGTGTTCTCCCCTCTAGCGGAATGGCTGAGCGTTCTGGTATACTGCAGCTAAAGAGCCCCGTGGCCAAAAGCTGCCTTCATTTTCTGTTTGAAATCTACCATATGAAAATTATAAAACAGAGCAGGAAATACGCAGTTGCTTCCCAGTATATTCTAGGGACATTCTAGGCTTCCCTAGTGGCCTGGCCGGCAAAGATTCTGTAAGATAACAGCCGTCTGTCTGGGAATTAAAGCATGTTTATATTGATAGATAGTACGTACAACATTTTTTAAAAGCAGGCTTGAAAGGCTTATAGTCTCATTTCTAAGGTCTTTTGCTTTTCCTGTTAAAAATAAAACCTGAAAGGGATTTCAGGGCACATATTTTGGGTTTACTTATCACAAAATTTTTAGAGTAAGGAAGGAGACGGTTAAAAAAAGATTTCCCAATACTTGAATCATGAGCTTGTATCACAGTGTGTTCTGGGAAGCTATAGTGTAGAATTTGATGTCAAGAATATTTAGTTGTATAATCAGAACAGAGTTGTGAAATATTTGTTTTTATTAAAAAGAATGCATTCTCAAAAAAGACACAGTCATCTCTAGTATGACAAATTAGTTATGGATCTAAAAGATTAAATGTCAGTTAACGTGCTATGAAAACAGTTTAAGTGGGACAAAAAGGAATTAGCAGGGACTTTCAGGCTGACACGAACATCTTATGTAGGGATTTCAGTTACAAAGGACTCTTACAGATGCATTGGCCCAACCTGTGTATCACTGTAAACACAGCTTTTGATTTTATCTAGTTTTTATTCATAAAGCCACTGTTCTAAGAAGAAAAATGTCAGAATAATCTTGAGTTGTACACCTCTTTCCTTATGATGCTGGTTTCAGTCCAAGTTCTGAGTAACAGTCAAGTTATTACTAGCAATGGGCCACGAACTGTAATCTGTATTCTGATGATTTCATAGTGTTATGTTCAATTTTGCTGTATTAACTCCCACTGTTGATGAATTGACTGTTACTGTTTTTTAAGGGGATCATTCTTTTAGGATGGTTTGATTTACTTCCTATCTTATATTTAATGTAGGAATAGATCTTTTAATGTAGGAGTAGATCTAATGTAAGAATAGATCTTATATTTAATGTAGGAATAGATCTTATATTTAATGTAGGAAAATGCTTTTTAATACTGACTCTGTTTTAATCCTTTTCAATGTATCTGGGCTTTTGTGTTTTTGACAGGCCCTAGGCTACTTTCACAGGGCAGAGCAAGGTAACGTTTTTTATTTCCAATAACTGTATGAATGTCTGACATGTAATAGCAATTTTTTAAACAAATTATTTGTTTTGATATACTTCATAAACTTCTTTTTGAGCTGCTGCTGCTGCTAAGTCGCTTCAGTCGCGTCCGACTCTGCGCGACCCCATAGACGGCAGCCCACCAGGCTCCCCCGTCCCTGGGATTCTCCAGGCAAGAACACTGGAGTGGGTTGCCGTTTCCTTCTCCAACGCATGAAAGTGAAAAGTGAAAGTGAAGTCGCTCAGTCATGTCCAATTCTTAGCAACCAGACACTCCCAAATAATCTTTTAAATTATTTGTTTGTTTATGGATGTGCGGGGTCTTTGTTGCTTCGTTGTGACCCCCCACTGGTCACAGTGAGTGGGGGCAGCTCTGCTGTGCCTGGGCCTCACTGTGGCGGCTTCTCGTGTGGCGCCCGGGCCGAGAGGTCTCAGGGCTTGTGGAGTCTTCCTGGACCAGGGGTAGAACCCGTATCCCCTGCATTTCCACCCACTGTACCACGAGGGAAGTCCTCAAGTAATTTTCAAAAGTCCTTATTTAGTAAAGATCACCTGAGAAAGAAATAGACTTACTACTGAATTTAGAGCTACAGTTCTAATGATCCTTCATTTGATGTAATTCAGCCTTCCTTTTTGGGAGGAGGCGCTGACAGATTAACTCTTTATTTAAGATCACACAGCTAATCAGAAGCATGTATTTATCTTCATTTAAAATTTTTATTGTTTAAAAGCGAAGTATAATTGGCATGTAACACTATTAGCTTCATGTGTACAACATGCCTTGATATCATACACGTCATGAAACGATCACAAAAGCAAGTCTAGTCAACACCTGTCAGCCTTACATAGTTACAAAAAAGTACTTTTTAAAGATGAACTGTCTTAGCAAATTTCAGATGGCATTTAAATGAGAACTCTCTGCTGTAAACCAGGTCAGTCTTTGTTCCGTTGCAGAGTCTTTTGTGATGAAGAGTTTTCTGTTACTCTTACTTTGAAGAAACAGCCAGCCTAGAAAACATCAGCCTACGTTTATCCTTTCTAACGGCAGAAATTAGAGATGTCAGAGACAGAAGCCTAATGTCCAAATACAACCCCCCACCCGCCCAAAAAAAACCAGTGCCAATATATTTCTATAAAACTTAATCAGAAGAAGATTAAAACAATTTACTAAATTTGAGAGCCTAGTCATACAGACTTGTTCAGATGCTTTCATGATAGCAATGCATTTTTGAAACATGTTTCTTCTAAAGAATATTGTCTGAATGTTAACTCTCTGTAATGTGTTAATTCTGATTTACTATTAACGACCTTCCGTTGATGTCCTCTCATGATGGTAGTGTTAGGTATCATGGGCATGATGTGGGAATGCAGTTTTCTCAAAGAAACTTATAAGTATAATCACAAAGTTAAAAAAGCACCTTAGGAGACTTAAGCACTTGAGTTGCTGAGAAGAACACGGTCATCCTTTTGTGGAGCTAAAATGGCCCTTGGTAATTCGTCACCTCCAGGCCTCACTGTATGGTCACCTCCTCTTGGGGCCTTTCCTCAGGGCTGATGTTCGGTTTAGAAGCTCCTCCTATGCTTTTAGTATCCTTTATTTCCCCCTTCATGGCCCTTAGCCCACAGTGTGACTGTTTCCCTGTCTGAAATGAAATTCAGGGAAGACGGGACTGTCTTCCTGCTCTGCACCCTCGCCGCTCAGCACAGAACGCTGGGCAGACTTGCCGAAGGACGGCGTAAGTGGGGGCGGAATGAGGGAGTCTGCCTAACTCCGGGGAAGCCTTAAACGCACATCAGCATGGCATCTTACAAACATCTTCAGATTAAAGAAGTGAAATAGGTTTGGGTTAAGAGACAAATGTAGTTAATCATAAATCATATCCAGGAAAAGTTATAAATATAGAAGGGTCCTTAAATACAGATAGGAGAAAACTGTATAGAATTAATGAAGACAGTCCTATGCTTTCATTCATAGGCTTTTTGTTTAGATTTTTGCTTCAGCCAAACATATTCTCCACTTTCCTGTTTAGATTCTATTCAGCCTCCAAGTCAGCCCAAGTGTAACCTCTTTGCTGCTTTTTTTGGTTTCCCATAGAACTTTAAAATTGGTACTCCTGTCAAAGCAGTCCTTTTATTCTTATGTTACATTCAGGTGTGCTCATGCTGGTCTCTGCTTTCATTATAAATTCCAAAAGAGCAGAGACCTCATCTGTGCTCAGACACAGCCCACGGGCTTCCGTGGCGGCTCAGCAGTAAAGATCTGCCTGGAATGCAGGAGACCCGGGTTTGATCCCTGGGTCAGGAGGATCCCCTGAAGAAGGAAGTGGCAGCCCACTCCAGTCTTCTTGCCTGGAGAACCCATGGACAGAGGAGCCTGGCGGGCTACAGTTCATGGGGTCACAGAGTCAGACACGACTCGGCAACTAAACCACCACCAAACACGGCCCACGCTCAGTAAAGGCTGATCAAATGTGCGCGCGCGCACACACACACACACACGGCCCACGCTCAGTAAAGGCTGATCAAATGTGCGTGCGCGCGCGCACACACACACGGCCCACGCTCAGTAAAGGCTGATTGCGCGCGCGCACACACACACACACACACACACACACACACAGACATCATCATGACTTCATTTACTCAGGCAGCAAGGACATACTGAGTCAGTTCGAGGCATTGTTCTAGGCACGTAGGATCCAGGGAACAAAAGAGGTGGGCGTATTGTCTATTAGGACCCCCTCAGGTTTTCATCTGTTCAATGGAGTACCGATTTTATAAAATTTCTGTGAAAATAAGAAATGTGTGTAATATAAATGGCTAGCACAAAGTAGACACTCAAAAAATAGGACTTCTCTCAAATTTTTTTGATAGGAATAGTTGAGCAAAGGAGACCGTCATTAGCCTAGCGTATCACAGTACGTCCTCACACACAGACTGTGAAGTTGGGAGATTTCCGACAGGGAGGTTGGGTCACGTGTCTGCTGCACACGGTCACATGCGCGTCCCCAGAAGTGTGTGCTTCCGTGTGCCGGGCAGCGCCGTGGAGGTGTGCTGGTGCGGGATCTTTACTTCAAGCCCCGGAGGTCCGGACGCAGCAGGGCCGTAGCTGCCATCTCCTGTCGCTGACGAGCCTTCAGCTCTGCCGTCTCCCCTCACCCTCCTCCTCCAGAAAGTGACTGACTTCCTGTCTGTCCGCTCAGTGCCAGCCCCTGGATGCCAGCTGCCTGTAGTGCACTTATAGGATTAAACTGTTTTCTCTTATGTATTGTTTGTGTGAAAAGTATTCCAGTTCAATACTACATAGTCCATTGTGTTAGCTGGCTACCTAGGCTAACTCTGTTGGACTTAGGAACCAACCGGACTTACGAATGTGTGTGCTCTCAGAGTGGGTCTTGGGGTTACTGTATTGACATCTAGAAAATTTTAGAAATTGGCATTTTAGAAAATTTTAAGGCTTTCAAAATAAGAGCAATACTATTTGATCGGAGATAAAATGTGAATTCTTTTTCTTTCTTATGTACAGTGGATCCAAACTTCTACAGCAAAAACTTGCTCCTTCTAGGAAAGACGTATTTGAAGCTGCACAACAGAAAGCTCGCTGCTTTCTGGCTGACAAAAGCCAAGGACCACCCAGCGCACACAGAGGAGGATAAGCAGGTGCAGTGTCTCCAGTGAGCGAGGCTCGTGAAGGAAAGGGGACTCAAGGACTGCTTCCAAAGTGTCATTGTCCCAATGCATATTATTAAATTATACTGCTGGTTTCAAATGTATACAGCAAATGTTTTTGGAGAAGGAAATGGCAGTCCACTGCAGTCTTCTCGCCTGGATAATCCCATGGACAGAGGAGCCTGGCAGGCTACAGTCCATGGGGTTGCAAAGCGTTACTGAACACATGCAGAGCCAATACTTAGTCACTGTCAACAAACATGTATGAATTACTCGGTACAGTATAGAATCATTCCTGTTTGACATATCTATATATAACAGATCAGATAAGATTTCTAAAACATAAAAGGCAGGGGTGTGTGCTAATGTGAGAGTTCTCTAAGAGTCTCGCTTCTGAGTTCCCTAAGAAGTTTCACTTCGTGTACTAGCCAGGTTTTCTGAAACTCTGAGACGCTCCTTTATGGACTTGTTTCACGAGTCAGTCTCTGTGCTGTGCTGTTTATGATGTGCGTTCTTCCATCTTAGGTGCAGACGGAAGCTGCTCAGTTACTTACAGGCTTCAGTGACAAGAACTGAGGTTTTTCAGTGAAGTAGCTGAGAAGCATTGCCTTTTCGTCAGATTTTAAAGATAATAAATACATTAAGTATAACTGTTCTCTGGCTGTTCTTTTAATGTTGTGACCATTTAACAAAATAACAAAATTCTAGATTTCTTTACAAGTAACAAGGCAAAAGAAATGATCCCACAAGAGTGGCAGAGACGTCTCCATGGCTTAGAGGCAGAGATGACTGTGTGCCCGAGATACCAGCGATACAGCAGGGCGTGAGACTTCTAGGGCGGACCGCACCACGTCAGGATGGGGATAAAGGAAGGAAAGCTACAGTGTGGATGCGCTGGCTGCCGAGGGGTGCATTTTCAAGTTGACCGATTCAAAGCTGAGCCGTTGCAGAGAAGCAACAGTGAGCGAGGAGCTCGGCACGATGGGGGTTCTTGGTATAATGCAGTTAATTGGTGTGTCTTGGAGCCAGCGTGCATAAGGAAAGAGCTCCGTCAGGAGGGCTGAAAATGGAGTGGTTTCTTCTTTAAAACGTGAGGTAGTCTTAAAAGTCGATTGATTTTGTCACTAGGCGAGCCCAGTCTATTCCCTAGTGGGTGAAAGGAACGCGGAACTCAAGGAGAAACGGAGGCGAGGGTGTTTAAAAAGTCTTTGAAACGTGAGGTAGTCTTAAAAGTCGATTGATTTTGTCACTAGGCGAGCCCAGTCTATTCCCTAGTGGGTGAAAGGAACGCGGAACTCAAGCAGAAACGGAGGCGAGGGTGTTTAAAAAGGAGGGATCCTTGGGGTGCCCCCAGTGCAGATCCGAAGTGCTGTGAGCAGCAGTGTCTTGAATGTCACTTAGAGACATCTGAGTGTATGTCTAGGTGGAGTGTGCTCAAAGGGAAAACATACAATGTGGGTATGTACTCTTCGTGGTTATCATGTGTACTTTCAAACAGAAGCAAAAACTCAAAGTACTGGACTATTTATACCCATCTCTGATTCAACAGTTGCTAATCTTTTGCTATGTTTTACTTATGTATGTATATATTCATGTATTTATGTGTATCTGTAAACTTTTGAAATAGTAGACCACATATTTCATCCCTAAATATTTCAGCATTCATTGTCTCAGAGTAAAGACTTCCTTCTAAACAAACACAAATTCATATTACAACTAGAAAGTTAACAGCAATTCTTTAATATCAGCCATATTCAAATATTCTTAAATGTCCCAAAATGTCTTATATACTTCTAGAAACCAAGATTCAGAGATCATACATTGAATTTAATTTCCCACCTGAGTTTTAAAACCTAGAAGAGTAACACGTCTTTCTCTCGCAGCACTGACTTTTTAAAAAGGCCAGTGCGGTTGTCTTCCAAACTGTCCCTCCTTCCAGAATGGCCGTATTGACCACCTTCAGAGAAACACTGTTCCATCTTATATGTATATTAGATCTTCTTTGACGTTTGTATTTATCACTTTCTCTGATAGATACTGCTTGTCTTCGCTTTTGAGATGTTTCTTTTTCTATAATTTTCCCCCCCTGATTTAAGTTAGTAGGCATTTCACATCTTCATGTTTTGTTGTTCCAGTTCTGAATTTCTAATTTGGATTTTTTTCATGTCTGCAAATTATTATTTAGATTTAATTCATACTAGTATACTGTGTTTAAGGATTTTACTGGTTTTTTTTGTTTGTTTAGCATTTTCATCTGAAATTTCGTTTTCAGTTTTCTCTTTAGAGTGACTCTGAATGTCATTTTTTGGAGGTATGACTTGTGTGTGTTTAATAATGGGAGGTAAGGGTTTGGATTAGTTCAGTAACACCCTCAGTAATTTACAAAATGAAATAGTTTTGTAAAATAAGGTTTCTTTTAGTCATAAAGCCTTTTATGGAGGGGAGGATCGGTCTTTGATATTATATAGAGCTGTTTAAAATTTTTTTCCTTTGAAATAAGATTCATAAGAAGTTGCCAAACAGTACTCTCACAAAGGCGCTGCGGTGCTGCCCTCAGTTCTCGATGCTAACAGGTAACTGCAGGACAGTATCACAGCCAGGAGGCTGTGCAGTCCACAGACAGCATTCAGACTTGACCACTTTTAAGTGATCTTGCGTGTGTGATCTGTGCAGTGTGACATGGGTGGATTTCTGTAACTGCCACAATGAAGATACAGAACTGTTCCATCACAGAGACTTGGTGCTTATGTCACACACATTCTCTGCCACCACCCCTAATCCTGACAACCGCTGATACTTCCCTGTAGTTCTCTATAATTCTGTCATTTCAAAAACATTATACAAATGAATCATACAGAATGTGATGCTTTGAAATTGGCTTTTTTCAATCAGCAGAACTCATTTGAGATCCATCTACCTTTAGTCAACAGTTCCTTTTTATTGTTGATTATAGTTCATTGTGTGGTGCACCAGCTTAAACTATCCACCTTGGGGCATTTGGGTGGTTCCCAAACTCTGGCTGCTATGAACATAAGGTATGACTCATATCAGTTATGTCAACATACTTTTCCTCTCTGGGACAAACGTCCAGGAGTGTGGTGGCTGGGTCCTTTATAGAGCTGCTGTTTCTCTTCCCTCTCTACAAAGGAATAAAACTTCCTTCTCCAAAGAGTGGTTCCTCCCTGCGATTCTATGTGACTGTGTGCGTTTTCAGCCTCTCTTGACTGCCCCAGAGTCTGACTTCCCTGTCTCACGCTGCTCCCGGCGTTTCTCCACTCTGGCTGAGAACTGCTGCTTCCGGGAGGGAGCCCTGGGGCCCCGTTATGTCCCTGCCCCTGCAGCGCCCACTTGATGCGGCGCTTGTGTTCCAGAGCTGACTGCTAGTCTGAGGCCTGTTTCCCCACATCCGTGTCAACAGAAGTTTGTAGTGTTCTGTCTTCTAAACACACCACAGACACGGGCTCCGGGAGACCACAGCCGCCTGTCCTGCACCCGTCACCTTGGAAGAATGAGAGCAGACACCGGACTGGAAAGCGGCTGTTCTCTTGTTGCCAGAAATTCTCCTGAGTGGGCTAGCTGTAGATTGTGTAAGAATGATTTTTCTCAGACTCTTTAAAATAATTACAAGGAAAAAACAAAAAAGCCCCTAAGAACCTAATGGAATTTTGAGGATTAAAGAACATGTATTTACCAGGAGTATCAGTAAATATTTAAAAATGCTGCTAACATCTGACTGTCCTTGGTCAAAGACTGGGGAGAGAAAATTTGAAATTTAGGAGATGCCACTTGTGTTCCAACTATATATAGTGTATGTGCTGTGGAAGTGAGGGCAGAAGGTGCCACTTTTGGACTATTACTCTTTGTTACTGGTTTGGGTTCCCCCGCCTTTTCATTTTTTTGTTACCTACTTCAACCAGAGAACATCTCTGTTTGATGTTGTAATGCCGACAAGAGTCTTTTGAGGTTCAACCAAATATTTAGACTCAAAAAGCCCATGACAGGCTTCATCTGGCACCAGTTCACTCGGGTCCGTGTCAGGCTTCCCGACATTCGGATGACCTTATGGCAGTGTCAGGAGCAGTGCGTCCAGGCAGCTCCAGAACGACCTTCGCCCCGGTCACAGCTCGGGAATCCCAAAGGGACAGGCCGTCAGAGTTTCCCCATCCTGGGAGGTCCGCAGCTGTGGCTTCCTGTCAAGTCTCTGGAGTCTTCCCAGTCCAGACGCAACATACCATCTAGGGGTCCTTTTATGAAGAGAAAAGGTATTCCCTGAAGCACGGTTGGCACACCAACCCACCTGGTTTTGAAAGCTGGGGAACCTGGGTGTCTGACCTGAGGCGGGAGGGTGGACGTTTTGTTTAACTCTCTTGGCGTGAAGGGCGCTGAGCCTGCCTCTGTGTGCGTGTATCAAGACAAGCAGGGATATCCTGCCTTCAGGCCTGGATCTCTAGGAATAACACGACAGAAGAGCCTGACGCGCTCTCCGGGACGCTGGTTTCCGCTCTGAGGCCGCCTGTGGTTCAGTAAGTTCTTACCTGAAGTGGGGGGTAGGTGTGGGCACCCTGAGAAGGTCAGACAGTCGCTGCCATCTCAGCAAAACGCCTCAGTGGTGCCGCCCTCACGGTCTGAGTCAAGTGGCCCTTTCGAAGACTGGGCACCCTCTCACGCACAATCTGTCCTACACACTCGTTCTCTTGTTTTTCATTCTTTAGGCATGAGAATAATTAGAAAGTCAGGAATCAGGATTTGGGAAAAGTATTCAACCAAGTGGATCACTGACTTTTATTTCATCTTTACTATGAATTCTGAATAAAAATGCAGAACATGATCTAAATATGTAGAAAAATAAAGTTTTGGCAAAGCAAAAAGTATTGTTCAGAGAAGTTAAATTGTATCCTAGTGTTGTCTGTATGTACTCAGTGAAATATGTTACTAGTAACATTCTAAGATGTCAGTTTCATGGTTAAAAAATTTTTTTTAAGTTTTATGAAATTTATAGTGTATATTGAAATAATGATACAACTGGAAATTTAAATTTTTATATTAATAAGGAAGCCCCACTTGCTAAAGCAGCATTAATATCATTCACATCAGATTGTTATACATTTTTGTAGATAAGTAAATGTCTTTGATAATGAAAAACAAAGTATTTACCTAGGACAAAAATAATAATTTATATAAAAAGGGGGGAAGACCAAAATATTTTTTATATGCTTATTCAGATACATAGAACTTTCATGAATTTAAGAGGAATGAAGATATTCAAACTGTAATAGGAAATCATTAGACTTATTTGAATATTTAGATGCTTATGTAAGTCTTCAATCCATCTGGTTTTATAAAACCAAAATTTCAAACACAAAAGCAGAAAAGTTCACATTGCCTTTTTATATGTTCCTAAGTATCAAATTACATCAATTTATTCTGTATTTAAAGAACATCATAAATTTTAAAACTAAAGTACAGAAGTGCCTGATTCTTTTTAATCCCACAAATACCTAGCATCCCAAAGTAACATGTAAACAAACCTCTATGCTGCTCGGTGGATTCTCTCCAATTTCCAGAATAAACTAAAAGGTAGTAGATCTAGTATATGAGTTACTCATATAAGTTACAGTTTCATTAATGACTTTGTATTAGTGATGTAGCAAAGAGGGAAATTTTTCAACTACTGTATTTATTTTAAAATAAACTGACAGGTTCAAGAACCCATCTTAAGAAAAGCCAGCAGCACTTTTTTTAACATATTCAAAGTAAGATTTTGGCCTAAGCCCTTAATACCTTCCTGAACAGCCATGCAACTAAACACCCTCAAGAGATGTTCCATCAGGGAAAAAACACAGAGCAACTTGCACTTTTCCCCCTGGATAACAGAAACAAGGTAAAGCAAATCCAGACTATTTTCGAATGAATGGCTGTCACGTTTAATACACTCTGAGCTCTATAAAACTAGAGCCACTATCATAGATGCTTATATAGATATATAGTTATTTTTAATAAAGTCTCTTGCTTGCTTCAAAATTTAAGGATGATTTTTTTTTCCTGGTCAGTCATTTCAAGGGAACAATAAATAAAGTAGAAAAGGATGAGCTGTTTTGCATATTTCTGTGGAAGAACGGAAAACATTTATACTTTTGAGAGGTTCAGAAAATTCACTGTACAGAATGAACAGCTTATGTACACTATCTGTGCAACTCTTCTTGGCTGGGGGATTTGAACGCAACAGCTCCTCCAAGACAAGAAGCCGCTCATTCTTGTCCAAACCCCTCTGTTTCCTCTATTGCAAAAAGGAGTTTCTCCTTTAGTTGTTCGTAACTCTTATATGGTGGTAGATCCAAGCGATTAAAACTGAACAGAAACAAAAACAAAATGTATTTTCAATAAAATAAACTCTGAAAAGATTTCTAATACATTTTAAAAATACATCTGAAAAACTAAACAGAGGAAGAATGTAAAAATTTTGTTGGAAGTATTCTAACAGACTACTATATTAATACTTATTGAACATAATATTAAATATACAAATTTTCTTATAGCAATCAACTCAATATTAAGACCTATTCATAAAAATAATGTTTCCCAGAGAAAGCTGGAATTACAAATAGTAACTGTAGTAATAATGGATAAAACCGCTGTAATTTTTTTTGTCTTTTCTATAGTACTATGTGACATTGTTTCCGGAGTCCCCCTAACTTCTTCTCTTGGGTTAAAAGAGTCCATTTATTTCACTCATTCACCTATGAATTCACTCACTCATCAGTTACTTACTGAGAATCTTTTCTGTATCAGGTATTTCTCCCAGGAGCTAGTGATACAGAGATGAAAAACTAAGGCCCATGTTCTCACTGAACTTACATTCTAGGGTGGAGACTATCACCAAATATATACTTTTGTCTTTTCAAATGTCTTGTCATATGTTGGGCTTCCCTGACAGCTCAGCTGGTAAAGAATCCTCCTGCAATGCAGGAGACCTAGGTTTGATCCCTGGGTTGGGAAGATCTCCTGGAGAAGGGAAAGGCTACCCACTCCAGTGTTCTGGCCTGGAGAATTCCATGGACTGTATAGTCTATGGGGTCACAAAGAGTCGGACAGGACTGAGCCACTTTCACTTGTCATATGTAAAATTATTTCTAAAATAAAGTGCTTGCAATCTTGCCAGATTCAAAGAGAATTCCCTGCTGGGATTAACTGATGAAATACAGAAAACATGGAAAATGCTTAAATCATCAATGTATTGTTCCACAATTTACTAAGGTATAGACTAGCATTTAATTTTTTTAAGACACATCACTGAGTCGCCAGGTCAGGATTCAGGAGTTTCGGACTTCAGTCCCCACTCTATTAGCGTCCAGTGAGGCAGCCTGAGAAGTCAAAACCGTCCTGCACTTTATCTTCTCACGTGGAAGGTTTCTAGAGGTGGCCCCGTTCCCTCCTCCTACTCCTACCAGTTACCTGCCCTGGTCAGGAACTGGACATCAGGAAAGAGCCTTTTGAAACAAGGCGGCCGATTACAATTGTGTTCTTCTCAGACCATGTTTCTCTCTCTTGAAAAGCCGTCCACGGTAACAAGTAAGGGCGCTGTCCCCTGTCCCCTGGGCCTGAGGCGGTCTGATGGTGGACGGAGGTCAGGGGAGAGTCCGGCCCTGTCTGTGTCACATTGTCCTTTGTTCACTGAGCTGCCCCGCCGTCCCCCCGGCCCTGTCGCTGCCACATCCACCCGTGTCTACTTCCGCCTCCTCTTTGATCTAGACCATCAGATTTCCTGCCTGCCGATCTTGTGTGCAGTTTCCTTTTTTACTCCTTCACCATCTATCTAGCCTTGGATCAGATGCAGGGGTCCTTTATTAAAAAGACATGCACGTGTAAAACCCCTTGCTGCTGCTAACTCCTGTGGAGGGGGCGGGGAAGGAAGCCTGGGCCGTCTGTTGCGGGCCACCGCTCGTTCTGTCTTCTCCAGGCAGACCACACGCCCGGCTGCTCTATGGCCATGCTCTTATTTACAGCTCTCCCATGTTCCGAAATACCCCCTCGTCTATGAAAATATTATTAAGAATCAGTCCAAATGCTACAAAACTTCCTCCAAGAATTCTCTGAACATGTTATATAGACTTCATAATTCCCCTCTCCATAAGGTCTTTTTATTCCTATTTAAGATTTACTCTGTATTATGACTGACTGGTTTCTTCCAATAGATTCTAAAGTTCACAAGGGCAGAGTCCCCTCTATCGTCTGGACCGATCCATTTTGCGTACAGGAGACAGTTATGTTGAGTTGAACCATGTGAGAAAATGGGTATCTTTAAAACATTCAAAAACATGGCTCTAAGACATGAGCTATCATGCTCTGTGCTGGTTTGCCAAAGGACAAAAACATTCTAAAAACACTTATCTTTTGCTGAGTACACACTATGTGAATGTCAGAATACCGTCTTAGTTTGGCTTTTTAGTTGCACTTTGAGGAACGCTTGCTACTTCTATCTTCCTATATGTAAAAAGGGAGGGGACAAGTACCCCCACTAGCTTGCTTCACACGTACGTCGCCTGCTGTCCTGTATCCTGAGAGCTGCCGCCTCTCCAAGCAAAGCCCTGGCACCGCAGCAGGGGGACCCCACCCGAGGGCCATCGGGACCGCTTCCCCACAGACTGCAGGTACAGCGCCATGCCCCTCAGTCACTGCTGGAGACGGGAGTCTCTCTGGGTCATCTTTTCACCTAAGTCCTCACCTCAGTCCTGACCTACTCTACTTCCCCTGATCTGAACAGTATCTCCACCTGTGCCCTCCATCTCGCAGCATTCCAGTCCATTCTTCTGAACTTCTGTTACATGATGTGCAGGCTTCTACAATCTTAACGGGCTTTCCCGGCGGCTCAGATGGTAAAGAATCTGCCTGCAAATGCAGGAGAGCTGGGTTTGATCCCTGGGTCGGGAAGATCCCCTGGAGACAGTTGTAACAACTCCTCTCTTGCCTTCAGGGAAATTTAGCTAGTCTGAAACAGTCCATTTCTTTCACAGCCAGCCAACACTTTCCTCCTTTGAGGCAAATGATCTGGCTATGAAGCCTTCCTTTTGCACTCTTGCTGTCACCTCCTTCCTGATATGTTCCTTCACTCACTGACACCTCTGTCACTCAGGTGACATGCAACGCTATGGCCTCCCAGGTCTTGGCCCTTCTTCAGGGATCCGTTCCTCTACTTCAGTATCATACCTTGAACTTGGTCAGCAGCAGCAAAGGGAATTATAACTAAAACACTCTATTCTCTGATTATCTGTTTTCCCCAACTTAATTCAATCAAAATGCCAACCTATTAACCCAATTCTCACCACCCTACCTCGTCCATAGACTCTTCCGATCTTCACTTCTTAAGCCACAGCCCATCATTATAAGTATTAGGTTGGTGCAAAGGTAACTGTGGTTTTGGCACTGTTGAAACTGCCATTTGATACTGGGATACATTCTCGATAAATGTGGTTATGTTATACATCACTTTAACACACATTTCTCACTTTGTTTTTTTGCTAATGATTACTTGCTGTTTATTTTATATTTACTTTAGACTATGGAAAGGATGTCAGACGAAAAGCAAATTCGAGTGATTGTCTTATTTGATTTCAAAATGAGTCATAAAGCAGTGGAGACAACTTGCAATATCAACAATGCATCTGGCCCAGGAACTGCTAATGCACGTACAGTGCAGTGGTGTTTCAAGAAGTTATGCAGAGGAGATGAGAGCCTTGAAGATGAGGACCGTAGTGGCTGGTCATCGGAAGTTACAATGACCAACTGAGAAGATCATCGAGGCTGGTCCTCTTACCACTGCAGAAGTGGCTGAAGAACTCAGTGCTGACCAGTCCACGGTCATTCCGCATTTGAAGCAATGTGGAAAGGTGTAAAGACCTGAGAAGTGGGTGCCTTATGAGCTGACTGAAAATAAAAAAAACTGTTGTTCTGAAATGCCATTTTCTCTTATTCTAGGCAACAACACACCATTTCTCGCCTGGATTATGACGTGTGATGAAAAGCGGATTTATATGACAACCGGCAACAACCAGCTCAGTGGCTGGTCTGAGAAGAAGCTCCAAAGCACTTCTTAAAGCCACACTTGCACCAAAAAAAGTCTTGGTCAAATACAAAAAAAGGGGGAGAAAAAAGGTCATGGTCACTGTTTGGTGGTCTGCTGCCTGTCTGATCCATTACAACTTTCTGAATCGCGGTGAAACCATCCATTACATCTGAGCTCAGCAAATCCATGAGATGCACCGAAAACTGCAACGTCTGCAGGCAGCATTGGCCAACTGAAAGGGCCCCATTCTTCACGACAACACTCGACCACCCGCTGCACAACCAACGCTTCAAAAGCTGAACTAATTGAGCTACGAAGTTTTGCCTCATCCATCATACTCACCTGACCTCTCACCAACTGACTACCACTTCTTCAAGCATCTCGACCACATTCTGCAGGGAAAATGCTTCCACAACCAGCAGGAGGCAGAAAGTGCTTTCCTCAAGAGTTCGTCCAGTCCCGAAGTATGGATTTTTATGTTACAGGAACAGACAAAACTTATTTCTCACTGGCAAAAATGTGTTGACTGTAATGGTTCCTATTTTGATTAATGAAGATGTGTTTGAGCCTAGTTACAATGATTTAAAATTCATGGTCTACAGAAACTATAAAACTCCTGAGGAGAACATAGGCAAAACACTCTC